ACATATGAATTAGTGGCCAGACTACACATATATTCCCTATCATACATAACATTTAAAAACTAATGAGTACAAACTATCCTATTAACTGACTAAAGAAGAAAAATCATACAATAATCTCCATAAATTCTTAAAACTACTAAAAATGTAATATCCTTCCATGATTAAAAAAAAAAAAATTTCCCCAATCTGGTAATGAAAATAACTTCCCTCAATTGATAATAGGAATCTACAAAAAACTCCACAGCTAACATCAAAGAATAAAAGCATTCCTCCTGGAACCAAGAACTTAGCCAAGGATCTTCACTCTCACCAATACTATTTATCACCACATCAGAGGTTCCAGAAAGTACAAAAAAGCAATAAGAAATAAAATGCATACAGATCAGAATGGAAGAATTATTTGTATTCACAGACAAAATGACTGTATATATAGAAAATGACAAATAATCTTTTTTAAAAAGCTACTAGAACTAATACAAATTATTTTTCCAAGATGTAGGATACAAGGTCAAGATACAAAATTAATTTTATTTTCACATCCTAGCAATAACATTTAAAAATTGAGATATCATACAGACTAGTCACAATAGCATCCCAAACTATGCAATATAGTCAGTGATAAATTCAACAAAGTATGTATTAAAGTGCTCTCTGATAACTATAAAGACTTCTAAGAGTAATAGAAGAATAACTAAATAAGTGGAAAAACATACTATGTTCATGGATTTAAAGTTCAATATTGTTAAGATGACCATTTTCTCCAAATTATTCTATATGTTCAACTCAATCTAATGGAAACCTTGGTGTGTGTTTTTGTAAAGTCAAGCCGATTTTAAAACTTCAATGAAAATGCAAAGGACTTATAATAGACAAATCAATTTTGAAAAAGAAGAAAATTGGAGGGATCACCAGTCTGATTTTAATAATTGATATAAAGCTACAGTAATCAAGATAGTTTGAATATAATATAAGACATATAAAATAGCTGAAAAAAATAAAGAGGCCATAAATATAGTATACTATATGTCAGCAGGATTAAAAATAGCAGAATGGAACCCACAGCATCTACAGATACTTCATTTTCAACCAAAGTGGCAAGGCAATTCAATAAGAAAAGGATAGACTTTTCAACAAATGGTGTTGAAACAACTTTATATCCATATGGAAAAAACAAAACTCTATCTCAACCTCGTATAGTAACATGAAACTGGAGACAGACCCAAATATTGAAAATGAAATGTCAAAAAGTCTAGAAGAATATATGTATAACTTTAGGTAGATAAAAATTTCTCAGGGCTTCGATGGGTGTGGTAGTTCACATCTATAATCCTAGTGCTTTGGGAGGCCAAAATGGGAGGATCATTTGAGCTCAAGAGTTAGAGACAAACCTGAACAAAAGCAAGACCCCACCTCTACTAAAAATAGAAAAATTAGCCAGGCATTGTGGTGCCAAGTACTTGGAAGGCTGAGGCAGGAGGAATGCTTGAACCTAGGAGTTTGAGGTTGCTGTGAGCTAAGCAGATGCCACAGCACTCTACCCGTGGCACAAAAGTGAGACTTTGTCTCAAAAAAAAAAAAAAAATCTCAGGACATGAAACTAGTAAACCTAATAATAATAATAAAAGATAAATAAGACAAAATTTGATAAATCAAGTTTTTAAGCTCCTGTTGTGCAAAAAAATCTTAAAGAAAAAATGACCATCCACAGAATGGAAAAAATAGTCACAATACATATATCTGATAATGGACTTACATTCAGAATATTTGGAAAAACTCTTACAATTCAACCACAAGAAGTTAAGCAAACCAATTTTTAATAGACAAGTGAAAAGATAGTTTACAAAGGTAGATAAATAACAAATGTAAACGTGAAAAAATAATTTAATATCATTAGTCATTGGGAAATGCAACTTAAAACCACAATAAAATAGCATTATACAACCACTTGAATGGCTAAAATTAAAGGAATTGATTATATCAAGTGTTGGCAAGAATAAAGAATAACTGAAACTATCATACATTTCTGCTAGGGATGTAAAATGATGCAAGCAATCTAAAAATATTTAGGAAATTACATTTAAGTTAAACAGACACTTACTATATGACACTGCAATTCTACTCTTGGTATTTTCCAAAACAAATGAAAACATATATCCAAAGACTTGCACACGAATGTTCATAACAGCTTTGTTAATGAACCCAATTCCCAAGTGGAAGCAATTGAATGCACATCAATGAACAAATGAATTTTTAAAAACTATAGTATATCCATACACTGGGATATCATTCAACAATAAGAAAGTAAATTACTGATACACCCAAGAATATGAATGAATGAATAAATGAATGAATGCTGAGTTAAGGAAACCAACCCCCACACCAAATGTGCTCCATAATGACTTTTTAAATGTGAAAGTCTACAAAAATAAATCATCTAACCTGCAGTGATAGAAAACAGACGAGTTTTTTAGCCCTAGTGGAAATGGAAATTGACTGAAGACATTTGGAGGTAATAGAACCATGATGATGGTTGCATCAGCATGTGTATGTATCAAAAGTCATCAAGCTGCTTACTTTAAATGTGTGCATTCTGAAATGATCAATGAAATAATGGTTATACTGGATGGCGCCTGTGGCTCAAAGGAGTAGGGCACCCACCCCATATGCTGGAGGTGGTGGGTTTAAACCCAGCCCCAGCCAAAAACTGGAAGAAAAAAAAAAATCATGGTTATACTCATCACTCTGGTCTGAACATTATATACTGCATATTATGCATTCCATAAATATGTGCTATTGTTACGTGTCAATTAAATATAAAATTTAAATAGAAATAAAATTTAAAACAGAATGTCTCCAGATCTTACCAAATGTCCATGGGGGAAAAAATTACCCCCAGTTAAAAACTACTATATACTTTTCCAGGATATTGTGATTCACAGCACATGTTATGGAGTATAGAGAGAAACCTAACAGTTTGGGATTGTAACAGGGGAGCTGGAAGAAATGAAGGAGCCCTGTGCCCTGGAAATTTACTACAGAACCTCAGGACAGTCTCTCGGGTCCAATCCCAGCTCCCCGTGTTTTGTTCCATCTTCCTGACTAGGGTTTCACCTGCTATGCTACAACTGTATAGCACAAATATTCCCAATAAAGCTACTATTTTCTTGTAAAAATAAAATGTGTGCATTTATATGTAAATTGTACCTCAATAAAGTTGATTTTTTAAAAAAGAAAAACTAGTTCCTGGCTGAACGTGAAAGAAGAACACAGGCTTCTCAGTACTTTGGCAGAGTTTGCATTTGGTGCTAGCTACACTAAGTGCCTTTAATTTGCCCACTGCACATGAAGCATCTTGACCGCTAAGACCTATTGTTACAGTCAAAGAATGTGGCCTTGTGGATAATCCCCTAATACGCATTAAAGAGGCCACTGCTATAGCTAATGAGGAAACTTCCTTCTCCCTCTCACTAATCTTTTGTCTTTGGCCACGGATGAGACCAGCATCCAATACCAGGAGCCTGCACTTTACAGTGCCTCTGGTGCATAAACTTGGAGGGGAAAATGTAGAGGAAGACAAGCGTTCATAATAGATCCCAGCTTACTACCAAAGCAAAGAAGTCAATGGTTTTTAGACCATTTAGACCATATGGTCTAAATGGTCTAAAAACCAAGGATGTAAGTAGCTTCAGGGGATGAAATTCGGCAAGTATAACCTTTGAGCTTGTACTGCATAAGATAATGCCTTGGAATTGTGTTTTTCGAAGAGTAGGACAAGGATTTGCGGTGGTACATGAAGTGATTTGAAGGGTTTTTGAGATGAATTGGGTGGTAAACATGATATTACATAACATCAAATCATATAATGACTCCTCTAATTCTCTTAGTTTTTCTGGTTTTGTATCAAAAAGTATCATTTTTGGCTTCTATGCCTTTAACACTTCTTTCTTCTCTCTTCTAAACAAAGAGAAAACACAAAATACCTAACTGGTAAGTAGTAGTATTGCTTTCTTGTTTGTTTACATCATATCTTCTCTTTGGGGCAAGTAAATCTTTTTAAATTTGTGGTAGTGATACTAAGTTTCTATAAAATAAACGTTTTTCAGGTACAAAGAGCAGTTAGTTTATTAAAATATAAGTAAAAAAATAAGTAAACAGATACTCTAGTAGTATAATGTTATGATGATGTATGTAGTATGAATACCTAAGATTGGATAACAATGTCTTGAAAGGTTAATGGCCATATACAGATATAAATTTTATTTTTAAAAAAAGAAGGTTAATTTATAAGGAAGAGTACGTATCTGTATAATTAGAAATGTGAAATACAACTCAATAGCAGGAGGATTTCCATATCATAAACTAGTTAGTAATTCAGAATTATATGCCCCTTACTGTCTCTCAAAGTTTCAGATCCAATTGCTGATAAAAGGGCAGATTAAGATATGGAGTATTTCATGACTTGGGATAAAGCACTATAAAATTGGGCTATTAACAGAAATCACAAAGGATCAGATTCCATTCCATATCTATCTCTGATGATGCTTTCACTTGGATGTGGGCAGATGAAGCTGTGCAGAAGGTGATCACAGAAAAAAGATGCTGAAAAAAAATCTGTCCCCATAAAAGTTGGCAATCTCCTATTTTTTGTTGTGTGCTTTTTTTCTTAGAACTCATCCTACTTTCTTTCCTTTAAAAGAATGCGAGAAAATTCACATTTTACTTTAGGTCCATTAATCACTTCGAAAACTACAGTTCACATGGACAAATTACTTCAAAATTGTTATGCTATTGTCAATGTTTTGACAGTGATGTACAGTTTTTAAAAAATCAACCTCAGCTAGACTCTAAAGATTTCTACCCATCAAAACGAAAAAAAAAAAAAAAAACCTGTAGGACAGATTTTCTTATTTAAAGAAACAGAAGACAGTTTGATTTCTACCATGCTTACAGTTTCCCAAGAGCAAAATTAAATTGGGAAAGGACAAAGATAAACCCCTTACCTGTTGGAAGGTGCAGTGTTATGTTGTTGCAAAAATCTGTGAAGCAGCACTCGGTTTTGGTAACATTATTGGAACTATGACAGAAGACTTGAGCATTTAATTCTGGGAGGGAGACACAGGATTTGATCACCTGTTCTTTTCCATTAGTTAGCATAACTGATGCCCAACAAGCTCCTTCTGTTTGGCAGGTAAAGTTTGAAGAATCACACAAAAGACATACACATTTCAGTCCTGGAAAGAGTAAGGCAAAAAGCTTTAAAATACAAACGATATCATGAGAATTTATTTCATAATACTTGAGAACAGAAATTTAATCTTAATGAAAATTGGAAACGGGTTTAACTAAACTGCTTTTGATAAATGCATGCTAATCCTCTTACTCCGTCTCAGTCATGTGTTTCATGAAATAGGCTGCCTAATTATCATTTACTATGGCTAGTATTTTTGTGAATTTATTCAGTTGCTACCTATTTTTTAAAGTATTTTCCTCATCCACACTCCAAATCCCTCCTTCTTAATCTCAATCAGCTCATTCGTCATTTAATAGCTCCTATGACATGATAGGAATGAGTATCATAGCTACCAGGCGGAGCTGTCCAGCATCACTTGTAGAACATAAAGATTATGGCAGGTGTGTAACCAAACAATGTGCCATGTTCTGTTCATGCAACCTTCTGTCTTTCAACTTTAAAGCAAGCATGCGAAACAAAAAAACAACCATAGGTATATATGTCTCTAAAAAAAATAGTTGTGACTCTTGATTTTTATTTTCTGTGATATTATAACATTATTGTCAAAGTTCCTTTGAGGCACTGATGAGCCATTATATTCCCCCTTTTCACTAAAGAACATAGAATGAGAGTCATTGGAATATGGACCATGACCTTCAGAAAATTTTCTTTACAGCACACATCTATTCCATAAAGCAAAGCACTCCAATAATAGAACATCATATATATAGCTACACCAATAAAACTTTGATTGGGATTCCACAGAGCTAGATATACACAGTCTAGGAATTTAGAAAATGTTTTAGGATATTTTCCTTGCATAAAAGAGAATTCATATACTGAGCATCCATTCACCTAGGCATCTTCTGACAATAAGATCTTGGTAGCATTTTCCAATTCCAACCTGACAAAGGCCTTCAAATCCTGGTTATAAGAGTTTTTTAATCTTAGGTGCTACTTGGTCCTTGTGTGCCTCCATTTTCTTATGGTAAGGGAAGAATAATAATAATATACCTCCTCATAATGTTATGAAGAATTAATTAGTTAATCTTTGAGCAATATCTGGCACATAGGAAATGCCATATAAACATTAGGAACTATTTTTTTTACTACTGGAGGAGGTAAAGCTAGTTGCCTTATGTGAACAATTGAAATACACTTGTTATCCATAGAGGAATAGTCAAATGATAAAACACAGCTACAGCCCAGAATGAAGGAGGGAAAAGGAGGGAAGAGGAGGGGGAGGGAAGGAGGGGGGGAGGCCAGGTGGAGGGAGGGTAATCAGTGGGACCTCACCTATTGTGCATAATGCAAGGGTACATGTCTAATCTATTAAGAGTAGAGTATAAATGTCTTAATGCAACAATTAAGTAAGAGAGGTGAAGGCTATGTTAACCAGCTTGATGTGAGCATTCCAAATTGTATATAAAATCAGCACATTGTACCCCATAAATGCATTATTGAACATAGTTTTTATTTAAAAAAAAAAAAAAAAAGGAACTACAGTGCTTATTAAAAAACAAAGGAACTACTGAGACCATTGAAAAGGTGTAACAAAGAAATGCACCTCTTTCTGCCCTGACAAGAGTGATATGCATGCCCTCAGAATTTTAATGGACCAGGCTAGGCCCTACACTAGGTCACACAGCAGGTGGTATCTAGAGAAAGAATTCAGGAAAAGATGAAGATCCCAGCCCTTCCTTTGTCACTAACTTGATGATTGACTTTGGAAAAGACACTTATCCTTACAGAGCTTCACTGTCTTCCTCTGAAAATGGAAAATGAATTGGCAGAGTGGCAGTGGGTCCAGAAATCTTAAAGTCTCATATGCCACCAATATTTTATGACTCTGTAAATTTGCAACTTATAGAAATCTACAATTAAAAAATATAGAAAATCCACTTAACAATTAAAAAACTTGTCCCATTGTGGCTAGTCTTTACCTCGTATTTTAAGTAATTCTCCTAACACAAAATCTCAAACCATTTGTCTCTTCTCACCAGAGTCTCCTAAAATGTTCTATTTCCAAGAGAAGCTCAGCCAGGAAATCAAAGCAACTAAGGAATGTGGATTCACTGAGTGGAGAGAACCATAAAGTACTCAACAATCAAACGCACATTAATTTCATGTGTGATTCATCAGCACCTATAATTCCCAGCACAACCGTAGAAGTTAGCTGTCACCGGATCTATTTTATAGATAATGAAATGAGTTTAAGAAGTTCAAGTCATTGACTTAATATAACACCCTCCAGACGTCCCAAGACACATTGTGTTTATCCCACCAAAGCCACTTTAAAATACAGTAGAACCTCCATAGTCAACTACCTCCTTACATTGACCACTTCCTTAAGTTGATCTAATTTTCATAGACTGGACATATACCACAGGTACCCGTCCGCACAGTAAGACTAGTTCCTGATGTTGACCCCCTCCATGTGTTGACCAGTTTGTTACAGTCAACAAGTTGGGTAGTCAACTTACAGAGGTGGTCAACATAAGGAACTAGGCCTACTGTACTGATATGTACATGTGGTACATGTCCAGTCCATGAAAATTACAGAAGTGCCACTGTTAGAAATGTAGATAGATAGATAGACACATATAGGTACAGAAGCCATTTGCTACCCCACCAGTTTCTAGCAATTGTGAATAAAATATAAATACAGCAATAGAATATAGCAACAAATACAGCAAGTGAAATTAATAATTAATGAACAATTGAGATTTATATCTGTATTGTCATAATAAGCTGTAAAACATAGTTGCTATTTTTTAAACAAATTCTACCTACTTTCTGAGGAGACAGGTGGTGAAATAAAAGTCAGTATCATGGGCCTTGCATCTAGAGTAAACAAAGTTACGTTTCAGCTTATCTCAATCCTGTATTAAGTAAGCTTCTAAGTACCTAACCTGATACTTTCCCTTTGAAGCACTACTGGCTCCTTATAAAAATGATTACATAATAGCTCTTCACAAGGAATAATGTGGATATTCACTAAATGTGTAAGAAGCTATAAAAATTTTGTTCAGTTTAAAGTAAAAGGTACCAGTCAGAAGAATATAGATCTAGGTGACAGAGTTAAGATAGAAAATGGCACCTTACTTTAACTCTTGCATGATGAAAAACCCTGACAAAATGGGAGATTTGTTAATGATAATGGCTTTAACCATCTGCTAAATGTTCCCAGTTATTCCAGGTCAACTGGCCCTTCCATAGCACTGACAGGGAACCAACAGCTAGCTAACCCAGACCTAAGATGTACAGGTAACATATGACATGTTCAGTGTCTCATGTTTCATTTCCCACCAGTCCACTATATGTCATCAGATTTGACATACAATTAAACTATATTTATATCAACCATCCTCAACATAGAACCTTTGCACTGCCAATTAAAATACAAGTTGCCACTGGTGATTAGACTTATGCTTTATAGTCTGGGTTTTAAAAAAAAAAAAAAAAACCTGATGTTAATTGAGTCAATTATACTAGAATATTCCACGACAGGATAAATCTGGCTGTGAGCAGACAGTAGTCCTGCCTTCTGTTCCTTTATTTCACACTTTCCCATTACGGTGGACCTGAGTGATACAGGAAAGGGACAGCAAACAAGGTTGAAGAGGGAGGCAATGACCCACAATGAGAAGGTCTATTAGATATTTCCCTACGAGGGACACTGCACTTTTCTGCTGTCCCCTCCTACCTCTTTAATTATCCCCCTCCCCTGCCTTTGCCAATTAGTCTGTAAAAGGCAAGACATCTGTTACCCACAAGACATCTGTTACCTATATCCACCAAAGGATGTGCACGTTCCTAACCAACCAGAAAATAAATTGCTATCCATATTTACATGTGATGGCTAGCACACCCTGGTGTCCACAAATGTAAAACTCATCAGGTTACAAAAAATAAAAATTAAAAAAATTATGGCTGTGCATTTATGTGCTATTCTTATTTAACAGCCAAATATTTGCTTGGCAAATATTAGTTGCTTTGAATTAGGCACTATTTTCAAAAGGTTGGTTACATATTACCTAGATTTCCCATAGTTTGGATCCATATGCTGAAATGGGCCAGGGCTTACCAGAATCATCTGACACATGCCCTTCTTTCCACCGCCGCCCCCCAGCCCGATAATCATTCACTCGATTCAATTTCTCTAATTTTAGAACAGGCTATTAAACACAATTTTTTTATAATTCAGAAAACTGTCTCTGATTTGACCTGCTGAATATGTAATCTTTTCTGCATTTGCAGGCTTGTGCATTAACAAAGAAAACAATTCAAGCTTTGCAGTGTGCTGAATATGAAAAGTATGGCAACAGGAGAGAAGCCAGGAAAACGAGCACCAGTGAATCTGAAGGAAAGCAAGACAGGGTCAAAGAAAAGCAGACAAAGATCTGTCTTCCCCTTCTAAGCCTTGTCAAGATTTCATTTTCTTGTCATGTGGTCCTTTCAGAGCATCTGTCGTTCCTAATGGAAAGGAAAAATAGAATAGAGGAAGAAAATGGCATGAATGAAATGTGGGCAATATAAATGCAACCTCTCTGGACAACAGAGCTTTCAAGAAAGACTATTGAAAGGTGGTACCCAAGAAAATTCAGAACTCCAAAGATAAGGGAATGTACCCGGCACAAAGGAAAACTGTTCCTTTGTGCAAAGTGGCAATAACATTCCCTGCTCAGGAAGGCCTCACCCTTACAGCGGAGAAGGAATGGAACCACCCTCAGCAGGAATGCCGTCCCCCGGAGAACTGATCTTAACTTCAGCCGCACTGCTCAAGGTAGGAAGAGACCAGCACATTCTCATTTATAGTGTGAACCACTGGGAACCTCCTCAATCCAAAAGCTGCGTGACTAAAAGGGAAAATTTCAGCTCACCTCTCTCTACCACAAACCACCTAAGACTTTCAGACATGTTCATTGAGATCTCCGAATCTTAGATTCCTCATCTGAAAAATGACGAGGTCAGAAAGGAGATAGAAGATTTCTGAGGTCT